TATTTAAATAAAATACTAACCTCGGTTTCTTTACCATATAATTTAACAATATTTACATAACGTGTACTAACCTCGGTTTCTTTACCATATAATTTAACAATATTTACATAACGTGTACTAACCTCGGTTTCTTTACCAAATAATTTAACAATATTTAAATAAAATACTAACCTCGGTTTCTTTACCATATAATTTAACAATATTTACATAACGTGTACTAACCTCGGTTTCTTTACCATATAATTTAACAATATTTACATAACTTGTACTAACCTCAGTTTTGTTACCATATAATTTTACAATTTGTACATAACGAGTACTAACCTCAGTTTTTCTATCAAATAATTGACACTATTTATATACTAACCTCGGTTTCTTTACTAAATAATTTAACAATATTTGTATAACGTATAGTAACCTCGGTTTCTTTACCATATAATCTAACAATATTTACATAATGTGTACTAACCTCAGTTTTCTTTTATCTTATAATGTAATAATATTTATATAACGTGTACTAACCTCGGTTTCATTACTAAATAATTTAACAATATTTACATAACGTGTAGTAACCTCAGTTTCTTTACAATATAATATAACAATATTTAAATAAAAACACTAACCTCGGTTTCTTTACCATATAATTTAACAATATTGACATAACGTGTACTAACCTCGGTTTCTTTACTAAATAATTTAACAATATTTACATAACGTGTACTAACCTCGGTTTCTTTATCATATAATTTAACAATATTTAAATAACGTGTACAAATCTCAGTTTCTTTACCATATAATTTAACAATATTTAAATAACGTGTACAAATCTCAGTTTCTTTACCATATAATTTAACAATATTGACATAACGTGTACTAACCTCGGTTTCTTTACTAAATAATTTAACAATATTTACATAACGTGTAGTTACCTCAGTTTCTTTACAATATAACAATATTTAAATAACGTGTACAAATCTCAGTTTCTTTACCATATAATTTAACAATATTTATATAACGTGTACTAACCTCGGTTTCTTTATCATATAATTTAACAATATTTACATAAAATACTAACCTCTTATTCTTTACCATATAATTTCACAATATCTATATAAAACACTAACCTCGGTTTCTTTACCATATAATTTAACAATATTTAAATAAAAACACTTACCTCGGTTTCTTTACCATATAATTTAACAATATTTAAATAAAAACACTTACCTCGGTTTCTTTACCATATAATTTAACAATATTTGAATGATTGAGATGCTTTAATGTTGTAACTTCACGGTTTAAATCTAGTAGGTTATATTTAGATCTATCTTTTATAACTTTAGCAGCTCTCTGCTCCCCCGTTCTCTATAATAAAATAAAAGACTGCCAATTATTTTTTAGACGTTGGGGGAGAAATTTGGCATAGGTTCGTTGCACGCATACAAACTGTGATTTCACAGATTTTCTATGGTGACAATGATACAACAAAAGCCAAGAGGAGTGGGGACGGTAGGGAGGGTGGTAGGGTATTAATAAGTCAAATTTTACCTTATCGAAAGCTTTAAACACCACAGAGGAAGCACCGGATCCTATACGTTCATAATATATTAAACTAGGTGTTTTAAATACTGAATCAGAAATCATATCTTATGATACTTTCACTAATATGTTGATGAAAATATGCCTTTTCCGTTAATTCTAAAAATATAAATCATATGATAATGATTAAGCATTGGTCACAAGTTACTGTTTTCATCAAGGATTACAATAAATCTTATAAATAAAATCGATTCATTTAATCCACCACAGAAAAAATTAAGGTGAAGTTTCCAATCTTGGACTTGTTTTTTTTTTATTCTGGAGTCTGAGTTGGAAGCTTTGGATTACCAACAATTCCTACGAAAAGCATCGTTTTAATTTGACAGTTGAATATTTCCCATTAACTGGAATAAGCAAAGAAACCCTGTGCAAACTTATTAGATTTCAGTAAGTTGGGACTCGAATAAATGAAGGTCGTTTCCTCTGTAGCTGGGGGCTACATTAACTGGCCAACTGGTCGTAAAAATTTTTGCAACAAAGCTAGGTTGTTTCTCGATTTCAACGGGAAATGCTATTCTTGGACATTAGCCTCGACATTAAATTGGGTAATTTACGAGTTTTCGCCATAAAGGAAAGTACGAACACCGGCATTTTAGTAGGGGTAGTACCCGAGTCTTCGAAAACTCGAAAAACCTCAAAATAATTAAATATTTCAAACAAAGAATAAATATGCAATTGATTTAATCATAATTAAAGGAGTAATTTATGTATTTGATCAGTGATGCAGGTAAGGGGGGCTGACATGGAAAAAGCGTCTAGTCGTTCGGATGGGAAAATAAACCGAGGCCCCGTGTGCCACAGGCTGTGCACGTTAAAGATCCCTCGACAGTTTGAAATCGAAAAAGAGCAGGCTAATGCCACTGTCCTGGCAAATTTCCCTCATTGTGTCCTGCATGGCGTTGCCCGTCTTCATTAGCCCACATGGTGCAGAAAAGTAGGACGTATTTCATTTTGTATTTGATGATTTTGTAAAATGTATAATATGCTATTGCGTTAGTGTGGATAACCTTGTGTTTAATAATAGACTACGTGTCGTATTTATGACTAGGTTAGTCTCAATGTTTGTTCTGAATAGTCAGTCGCTATTTACTTTGTTTTAGTTTTCATAGAATTCAGCTTTAATATATTTACGTCATTGTATGTCTATATTAGGTAATATAATTTTCATTGGTCCACGTGACCTTTTGTTGCTCCTCGTGTTAAATCGCCATATTCATTCAGAAGAGTCGCCTTCAACTTTCGCAGACATATTGATAATAATTTAAGGTCTAGAGACAAAACCCTTCAGGTACCTATTATATTTTGTTTATAAATGTATTGAGCATATTATTATAGCCTAGTGTACATGTGTCAATGCGTTTTCTATGAGTATTTCCTGTTTAAAGTGTCAGAATTGTCTAGTTTGCATTTCATAGACACAATTTTCCTGTCCGCTAAGATTTATTGTATATTTCTTAGTTATACAACGTATTTTCATAAGTCTCAATATATTGTCAGTTTCATATCTGTATTGTATTCAATATGTTAGGTAGGTAATAAGAGAATGGAACTTATAGAGCCAACTTGTGTGCGTTGATCAGTTAAGTGTAGTCTGTAGTCTTGCTAAACGAGGTTACGTGCCTTTAGTTGGTATTGATTCTTATCAGTATAACTTTTCTCTTTTCAGAATAAAATTTTATTATTTCTGTAACATAATTCTGCTTGGAATAAAAGACATTACTGGAAGTTTGTCTTATCTAGAACCTTCTTCGCCCCCTAAGGATAGTCTGGAACAATGTTTACCTGCACTAGACCCTGAATATTCATTTTAAAAAAAACTCATATGTTTTGATCTCCTTTTGAAGCATTGAAGTTTACGAATAAAATCAAATAAGGCTGTATATTGACACTGTTCTGACTAGCCAGGTGGAATGTACTACTCTGGGCCCTCGTATAAAATTGTATGATCAGCATTAAGATCATATTCCTTATGCAACGGTACGATTATCAAAGTAACTAGTACAAAGTCATTCGAAATCCCTGGGAAATCTTTAGGCCTACACATTGTCAGGTTTTCTTATTGCACTCTCATGTATATCACATAGTATGTACAAACTGACAACATCCTCGAAAAACGTACCTTAATTAGGACTCGAAACACATGTATTAATCAATACTCGTAGATGAATATATTGTACGGGATGAATTACTGAATAAAACACAAATTGAATGAGTACTCACACTATAGTATGCTAACGGGCTATGTCATTCGATTCGATAAAAAGCGCCAAAATGTGTAAGTGGTTGTACAACTATGAGCCCTTACTTTGATAAAAAAAAAAATGAAACACACACACATTATTTCTCTATGATATTCTAGTTTAGTGTTATAATACACGAATTCCAAAAATAATGTTTGCCACTATGATATATAAGTAATAAATATAATATACAATACATAATAAGTATTTTAACATCCAACCCTCTTGAATGGTGACTTCAATTTCATAATATGCACAGTTTTTAGATTCTGTGAGTTTATTGTGTAAACAGTCTAATTATAACGAAAGTTTGGTCTAATTTTAATTAGTCTGTTACAAAATGCGTACAATTCAAAGAACAACTGTATATCTAAGTAAATTTTATTTCATTTTGGGTTTCTACAAAAGAAGTATGCCTACCCTCCAGCTGTCGTGTCCCTACTTGACTAAAGAAAGGTGCTGGGGAACCGGCGAGTATATAATATGAATGAAAACAAAATCCAACACTTGATAATTATAACTAAATATATTTCAATTCAACATCTGTAATTATCATCGTCTATTTCCGTATGAAACGGTATACCGTTAATCTAAAGCCAAAATTCATTTACTTTTTAAAAGTAGATTTTTGCCGTTTCTTAGCCTGCAAACGCTTGTCGGGGTGGTTATTGATATATACTTTGGTTGACGATTCTTTTGACCAATTAAGATAGTATTTTTATGAACATTTTTTTCAAAGTTTTGACACTTATAATACATTCTTAAATATCTTACAAAAATATGTTTTTAACAATTGTCCTTTATATCGAATATTTCTAATTTATTACTGGTACCAAATATATCTAATTATCTAGATTTTGTACTTACTGTAAAATTTACATCCATGAATGAAATATTTGAAATAATGTACGCCTTTATATTAGAAGACATGAATGGACATTTTTTTTTTAGAATATTATGTTAGAAATTTCGAATTCTTCTCTTGAGAATAGCTACTTATGCAATGCAAAATTTTATATTTGCGCAGTACATATACACAAATCATATCTTGACCATGAAAACCTCAATCTACTCAAACTGAAAGTAGACTACAACATTTTATCAACATCCGCTTGACTCTTTACCGCACACAAAACGACTATTTTTAGAATTATTTGAACTTCCGCATTGAAATCTCTCATCATCTCACAAAATCCTAAATTTCAGACATCAAATTCCGAATCTAGACCGACAATTAGTAAAATATAGGCAAGCAAAAAGTCTTGTTAAAAATAGCACGGACTACATCCGTTTTAGTGGTCTCGGTTTCTATCTATATATAACTCTATGATACATTCCTAGACCAAAGGGAGATAACAAGTGAAGTTTATAAAATGTTGGTTTAAGGCCACAGTAATTCTTCATACATGTCAATTAAAGGGTAGTATGCAAATTTTTATCATGAAAAACCATGTAAAGCACTTTAACTTTCCGACTACTAAATAATTAAAACTGCAACTTTGAAGAGCTTTAATTGCTTCAGATTGAAAAACAAGTGGTTGCCTAGCAAGATACGCTGATCAATTTTCAGGATATCAAGATCAATATCTGTAATTTGTGTCAAATTGTAGGCCTACCAAAAATCATAAAATTCTGACATAAAATGTCACCTCTTGCGAATGCACAAGTCACATACAACATAATTTAAGTGTAGGCCCTATTATCAAAATCTGATAAAAATTGTAGACTCTTTGTGTTCTCTAACAAATTTTGAGGCGTAGTCCTTAATTCAAATGCAATAACTTGAAAAACCATTCATCAAAAAGTCACCAAATTTCGAACTTTTCCAAGATCTTATCATTATAAATGGTAAAACCGAATTTCAATAAAATCAGATAAAACTGTAGTCTCTATTGTGTTCACAAACAAATCTCAACACGTTTTTAATTTCCATGTATAACGTATAAAAACATATTGAAGTCGTTACACACATTATTAACATAGTCGTTAGAACCAGAAATAATTTTGTTTGTTCGAAACTTCTATAAACATGGAAATCCGCCATAATAATATATCTTAAAATGTTTAGAATGTTTGGCATTTTCTGCAAATAACACAAGTTTTATACAGGCTTAAATTTTTTTTTGCAGGTAAAAATAATGATTCATCAATTAAAAACAGAAATGTATCACTAATTCGAAATGTTTTGTCTCAGATCGTTGGACTGGAAATATCATGTGGGCTTCTCATTCCCCTAAACCCCAACTGTATTCTATTTTTTTTTTAAAGTTTTCATTTTTGGTGTATAGTTTATACAAATTTGGACACAAAATTTATTCGACCTACATTTTTTTAAGTACGACCATGTTTTCAAACAACTGTGGACATCTTGGCCTATGTTGTTCCGAGGTTCGACCATTTTTTGATCAATTCAGGATGAAGTTCATAAACCAATCTAAATAGATCTGGCATGTCACAAGCAAGGTTTGTCAGAGCGATTTTAATCGGTTAAACCCTTTGACTGGACAAAAATGGTCAAAACTAACTAAAGCGACACTATTTAAAAGTTTAACGCAGTTTTTAAATTAATCCAATTTAATTAATAATATAAAATTTAGATATTAGGATTATGATATTATACAATATTATATCAAACCACAGACTCGAAGGATAAATAAATACATTATAATACAGTATCCATAACTGGTCTAAACCAGTGCTTCTATAGGAGAGTATCTTTTATATCACCTAATACAGAATAGTAAAATAGCTTGCCAGAAAATGTAACATACGCCCACTGCCAGCTGTCAGAAATGTTAACAAAACCTTTAGTGGCTAAATAATGAATATTCAAATAACCTTAAATCATCAATAAGCCAAGGCAAAAACCTCATTAATATATACATGCATATCTAGTTTCATCAAGATTGGATAAAAACTTCAGTCTCTATCGTGCATGCAAGCTTATGCGTTTTTACTAAGTCAAGGGCTATAACTCCGAAACCCTTCACCCGATTGTTACCAATTTTGAACGTGACCGAAATCTCATTGATATGACTATAGGAGGTCGGCCAATGAGGCGCTTTACAGTCGAACATAAAATTTCAAGACAATTGTTTTAAGTTGTTCTATCTGTCAGGCTATATTCCCAGACATTGAGGAAGGTTGCAGGGAGAAATTAGATAAAATCACGAAAGAGTAAGGATATATAGGGGAAAGAGCGGGGTAGGGTAAGGCAAAAGATCGAGGATCCTGAAAGGGGATCAATGCACACTATTATGAAAACAGGCGTCGCTGTTTGATATTGGAGAAATGTATTTGGTGACATGTTAAACAACATTTGTTGGGCATGATTTGTATTTGAAGATTTGTTACCGAAGAAATGTAAAGAGACACATGTGTTTTTTAATGTAGCTTTAATGGTTAAAAAATAGAATTTTGCTTGACAAATTATTGATTTTTATGAACTAATGATCAATTAGTGGAACAAATGTCAAAAATGACCAACAAATGAAGGAGTAGGAATTAAGCAATACGGACTAAGGATTAAGGATTAAGACGACATAATATTGGGCTGTTCGGTCTTACATACCAATGCAGGCGCTTACATGCAATGACATTCTTGACACTACCAGTTTTCAATATTACTATCAAGAAATTGAGATTGAGTGAAAAGGTATTAAGTATTAAAAGATTTGGCTGCCAATTAGATGAGATTACCTAGGCTACATAATAGCTGGTGCTAATGATAATTCTTACTTAGTTGGGTCTGCAACAGTTCGACACAGACTCAGAGAAACGAGAAACAAGAAAATGATATGTTACAAAGGGTGTAAGTTATAGATTCAATATATTACTAATATGAAAGTGATTCACTGTGAAAACCATCTAATTTTTAGTTATGACCACCTTTTTCCGCTTTGAGTTGTTTAAACCCTGACTAACTAGTTTTTAACCGGTCAAAACCTAGGGTTCGGCATTTTCGGAGGTTGATGTGGGTCTTAAATAAATGTAAATAGTCTTCTAAAGTAGACCTACAGGAATGTACAAAAATCGCACATTTCAAAAATACCCCTTTTCCTATCTATAGGTTTCTTTTCTATATATGGCAGATTCTGAAGAAATGACGGTTCGTCATTTTCGATTTCAAACGTGGATAATTCCGGACACACATGAACACTATTACTGAGTAGCTTACCTAAAAAAATTCCAGTTTCTCGGACTAAGGTACGATTGGTCAAACAAATGGCGAATCTGTCCCTTTAAACTGGGTGTTTTAAAGATCAAAGATTTAATAGGCCTGCTACTGAGAGAAACTATTAAATTTGGCGAAATTCGGGTGACGTCAATTATGGAGTGAAAGATTTCTAAAAATGATACTTAACAAATAAATTTACCTTTCTTACTCTAAGACAATTTTTTAATTGTTTCTTGATTTGATCATACTCAAAAAAAACAATTTAACAGTCTTCCGTGGTTGGGGCAATTGGGTAAATGGAATTTAAAAGTGCACCCCACCGAGCTTGCTAAAAGGGAGGTAGGCCCTAAATAGATGGAGGTTGGGAATCAATAACTGTTTTCCTACAAAACTTATATAGTTAAATGATGTAAGAATAGCCTAAAAGGGTAAAAAGTTAACTCACCTTATGCGGTTTGATGTTTATTATGGGTACAATGCCCGTAGCCTATTACCAATCACTATATTTAGCATTTCATAGGGAAAATGGAAATTACACACTAGCCTAACACACGATTTTTGGAGGCGGAAGGATAAACTATTGTTACGACAGTAATTACATGGTGCGTTTACTTTAATTCACGATTAAACTCGACATAGTGGGTTGGCTAAATATTTGCTATCTAGACGCATACAAAAGATTTAGTCACAAAATTTCATGTTGAAAAATGAAAAGATTATTTATCTATTGTTTCGTTTCATCATATATAATGAGAACATTCCAACATTTCCAACAATTAGCGAATATCAGAGAGTATACTCTCTGCGAATATTATCTAGCCTCTATCATTCAGTCCCTCTTTGTCTACGTACACCTTGTCATAGACAGGTATATATACAGATTGGGCGTCGGAGAATAGCGAATATCAAGACTCAAAACGACCAGTCGGAGCAGTCGGAGAAACCAAGACACCTATTCCTATGAATAATGAATTATATTTGTTCACCTTATTCGTTTCAAGCTTCGGATTAGTAGTATCAATAACTGAATCTCGGCTAAGAGATAATACAAATCAACCAGTATTTCGAAAAGGATTTCATAAACAACTTTGAAATGAAATGACTTGAGAGCAATGAGGAAAATTTTGCTAGGACAGCGGCCTACTCTTTTTCGATTTCCAACTGTCGAGGGATCTTTCACGTGCACAGCCTGTAGCACACGAGGCCTCGGTTTATTTTCCTATCCGAACGATTTGACGCTTTATCCATATCAGTCCCTCTAACCTACATCACTGACAGTTGGGAAACCGGGTTGAAAAATCCGAAGGTATTATCTAGACCTATGCCGGAACTGAACCCTGGACCTTCAGGTTAGCCAGCAAGCTTCTAACTCACTGAGCGACCGCGGCTCCCATAAACCATTCACATGTTCACACAATTTCTTCTTTGAGGATAGCATTCCATTGGAGTGTAGTACCATCTAAAATGAATCCGAAATCCGAACTGGCACTATATCCACGAGGTTCAATCCCCCCCCCCCCTTTTTTTTTTCTTTTGTTTTACCCTGAATTTACTGAAAAGCTATCCGCAACCACAATTGTTTGCGAGGAAAGATGCGTTGAGATGATCGTTAATCCTTCAGACTGGAACTTGCAAATAAAATGAGCTATGTTTATGAGTATGTATTTTATAATATTTACATTTCTACTATCACTCCCTTTAATAAACCAGTTAGCCAAACCGGCGTTTATTTTCCAATTACTGTAGTTTGTCACGTTACAATAATGCGTATCGAAAACGAAAACAAGGATTGACCCAAGTTTTTTACCTAGAGTTGGAACGCAATTTTGAAAGGGTTTCTAACAAGTATTTTAAATCAAGCCATATTAAACAGATTCCGTTTTTTATTAGAAGAAATAAAGTGTTAATTTTGCACTTGATTTGAAACATTGGTAGACTAAGTTTGAAGAGAGAAATGATGTTCATTTCGCCGTTAGCCGATTGACGGGAATATCCTTCGTTCTGTAAATAGACTGTACAGGGAGAGAATATCGAACATAAGTAGTACTAGGCCTTTCAATATGGTCGTACTTTCCGCAATTCCATTTCATTCCATGGGAAAGTGCGACCATATCGAAAGGTCCCCAAAAAAGACCTAAACACCCTACATTTCATAAATTCTTACAAAAAAAGACCTAAACAACCAAAAACACCTAAACACCCTACATTCCATCAACCCCCACCCCAAAAAAGAACCTATTCACCCTACATTTCATAAATTCTTACACCAAAAAAAAGACCTAAACACCCTACATTTCATAAATTCTTACACCAAAACACCTAAACACCCTACATTCCATTAATCCCCACCCCCCACAAAAACCTATTTACCCTACATTTTTCATTATTAAAATTAACTCAAATTGAAAAACAGACCACAATTTCTACTCAAATTTTAAACCTTGAAAATGGCAAATAAAATACTAGATCCACTCTTTAAATTATACGATCCGATTCGTTATTCATTTAACAAGAAAAAAGAGGATTATATTATCATCTCACCCACTGTTGGTTCTAAATCCCAATTGAATGATGGTGGCAGAATTACCTTCGAAATATATTCATTATCGAATTGGTTGCTTCTTTCCGATGCTTATTTCAGATGCGATTTCAAAATTAAAGATGGAACTCCCAATGAAAATCGTGTACCACAAACCAACACAACGTTAGAAAACAATTTCTTTCCATCTTTATTTAGCGAGATGGTTTTGGAAGCTGGTTCAAATCCGATAGAAACAATAAAACACCCTGGGGAATTCGATACAATGTTGAAAACAGTTTTCGATTCAGTCTCAGGTTGGATACCCGATGTTGGCGATGGAAGTGTTTTAAAAGAACCGGTAAGAAATCTTGCAAATGATGCTGATTTAGATAGAGTGAGAGTTATTGCTCGAAACACAATAGAAAGAGTAGCACGAGCAGCTAATCACGGATTCGAAAAACGAGTACTTCAGTACAATAATATTGTTGAGAATAATAGGTGGGGTAGTTACGTAAATTGGAAATTATATCCTTTATTCGGTCTGTTGGAACAGTTTCCATAGGGTTACCATATAAATTTCATCTACAAAGAGAAATCAATGATGATAAGATATTCTTTGGAGAGAATGCTTCAAATGCAAAATTAGAAATAACGAATCTCCAACTTTTCATACCCGTAATAACATCATCAACTGAAGTAGAAACGAGAATATTCAACTCATTAACTAAAGATATTGAAATAGCTTTTCTTCATCGTAATACAGTAGGTAGCATGACTTTAACTGGAGAATCCACTACTTGGCCAATCACTAACACTATTAAACCAGCAAGATATTTAATGGTTGGTTTTAAGAACTTACCAGACTCTCAGACGAATAACAATAATGTCTTCAGAGTGGCAATGAACCAAACTCAAGATCCTATAATCCATAAAGTTCAAGTAAGATTAAACAATGATAATTATCCTTTAACAATTAATCCAACCACAAAGGATTATAATGAATTGTATAGAAACTATAAAAACATGTGTGAATTATTTGGAAATCCACCTCAGTTTGAATATGTAGATTTTGCACTTAATCATCCAATCTTCTGTTTTGATCTATCAGCTCACCAAGAAGATCTTTTCAAAACAGGAGTGAACATAAATATTCATATTGAAAAAACACAAGGAGATGTGACCGGGTTTTGTTTACTACTCGAAGAATCAAAACATTTAATTAAAATAGCAGATAGAAGAATGATAAGAATTGAGTAAAAAATACACCCTTTAAAAATGAAAGTAGAAACTTTAGTTATGAAAATAATAGAAGCTATTTAAACATCTTCACCAACTGTAATAACTTTTAATGGTAAAAAAATCAGCATAACTAAAAAACTTATTGATAAATACAAATATTGTAAAGTCAGAGATGATATAGACTTAGAAAGAATTGACACAAATGTAAAAAAAAGGTGAATTTATATTTTCCCTACCTTTAATATTTGCTGGTCTTACCGCGGCGGATGCAATAGCTGGTGGTGCAGCTGCTGGGGTACGTACTGCCAACGAAGATAAAGAAGATAAATACAGTAACAGCTGCCGAGGAACATAGACATAATTTAGAACTCCAAACCTTTTAGATTTCAATTCATTATATATCTACATAACAACACCAGGGCAATCATATTATCAATTTCTCAAAGCTTTAGAATATCTACCAAAGAAAGATGTTCAAGACATATTTCAATATTATGAAGAAAACGAAGAAGAAGTGGAAATAAAAGATATCATAGAAAACTTCATTACATCAAAGAATCCATCTTTCAAACCAACGGATATAAAAGTTTTTCTTACTAAAAATGTTAATGATCTAGACTTGTCTAATATTGATAGCAATCGAAAGAACTTAATAGTGTTTGACGACTGTGTAGCACAAAGAAATCAAGCTGTTCAACAAGAATTCTTCACGAAGGGAAGACATCACAACTGTCACTGCATATACCAATCCCAATCTTTCTACGGAATGGATGCAATATTCATTAGAAAAAATGCAAATTGTTTTTTATTATTCGAATTGAATGACAAAGATTTATCTCAAATCATTCAGTCGATAAATCACGGAATGGACAGAGATACATTTAAAAAGGATTGTAAAGCTCAATGGGGAAACCCAGATGATCATGGATATGTATTTGTAAATACTAGAAAACCTGCGGGGGAAAGAGTTATGATCAACATATGTTCAATTTTAATTTTTTAAAAATGGATAATTGGAATAATATTTTAAAAAGAAATAGAGAATATATCAAAGCTAAGAATAAAATAAAGACCCAAGTTGAAAAAAACAAATTACAACAACTTGGATTAACAGAAAATCTACAAACTCTATTTCAACCAATATTAAAATCTCAAGAGGATATTAAAAAGAAATTAGCTTTAGAACCCACACCTCGTATAGAACCTCATCACCCCAAACCGATTGAATATGGTGGTATTATAATTATGTCCTTAGATGTTATAAATCGTCTTTTTTCAAACCCTGACCCAGTTTTACCAAAAAGCATTTCACCACTCGTTGATGATGAAGGGTTATTGTTTAATGGATTTAGAATAAGATTTAGTGGAAATTCACCAATATTCAAAATCGATACAAAAGATTTTATATACACATTAACAAAAGGGTTAATAGATTTAATGACTGGGGAGGATCCTGGTATTGCCGATTATAAGGATTTAGTAGCATACTCAAAATTTCTAAATGCAATAAGAAAGTCGGGACCCGAAACAAATAGACCGAAAGAAGTTAAACTATATATAAGAGCAATTGAACATGATGATGAATACGAAGTTGACGAAGCGAGTGATTATACTGAAGACAATCCACCAATCATACAAGAAATAGACGAATTGGAAGATATGGTATCTGGACAAGATATAAGGTTTTTATCCGACAACACCGAGGAACTATTTAATAGATTACAAATAATATTAGCGGCAATGAAGGAAGGACATCAATCACACAGACAATTTAATGAAGTGAATTGTATACTAAAAAGACTCCTAGAGAAAGGTATTATAGATCAAAATGATTATAAAGGCGTGATTAAAATGTCAAATAAAGAACAACTATTCGTTATCACCTCAAATAAATCAGACATTAAATTCTCTGTTTACAATTCCATTAGCAATATCAACGAAAAAAATAATCAAATAACAATATCAAAAAAAGGATAGCTTTTGACGTGTGAATCGAAGTTGGCTTTTAAAGTTGCTTCACTCCATAAATGTCTCGATGTAGTTATATCCTTCTGAATAGATTTACCATACAATGAATTACCTAATAATTTCATGCAATTACTACCTACGATATAACCTTCTCGTTTATATTTATTTCTTCGATCTCTCAAAATTAAAATACAATCTCTATATGGTGGAGTTTTAAAATTTTCTATACTATACCATCTAATATTTTAATAATTCGTCCACCGGCTTTAACTATTTCTTGAATATCAACCGATGTTAAAACTTCTGAACAGAAACCATTTCTGAATCTGATTTTAGTGCCAGTTTCCTTATTACCTTCTTTGTTCGTAAAAGTAATTTTATCTTTAGCTGGCATGNGTTGGAAGAACATGTTAGTAGGATATTCAAACCAGACTTTTAAAATAGCCGTTCTAGGTCTAAATTTCTGCTCA